TTTCAGTAGACTGAAATGATGGAGACACAACGCTTAGTGCCATCCATGCATGCCGCACACGTTTGTTATTGGCCACGGAGACTTCTCTAGGAGGCAACAGGATGTGTTTCTCAAAGTGCAGTCTGGGATCGAGCTGGGGAGTGTGCGGAAATGCAGGTTTGGGTGGGGCCTGAGCCTCTGCACCGAGGAGTAGCTCTCAGGAGTGCCCGTGCAGCCAGTCTGAGGAGCAGGAGGGGTGGAGAAGACAAGAGAACCGGGGAGACCCGTGCAAGCGCGGTAGTGCCAGGAAGAGGACAGCAGTGTCTGCACTACGAGCATTTTACATGGCAGCCGCCGGGGCTTCGCCGTCTCCCTGCTGGCCCAGCAAGGCAGGACGTGTGCACGAATACACCACCTCACCTGCAGCCTTGTGGGAGAGAAAACCACTTCTTGCAATACTGACTAACTGAAGAGCCTTAAGAAGTCCCGGGAGGGCAAAGACCCGATTCCTCGTTAACTGAACTCCCCAGAGCCTTCCCACATTGGTCATGGCCATCGTGGGGCCGTAAGCCCTGCCCCCAGTGGTGGACCAAGCTTCTCGGTGCTGCACCGTGCTCGGTGTCAGGGGTCCTCTGGGACGCACGCTTCCAGGTAGGTCCTCTTTTCTGAGGATCAGATGGTCTCGCTGAGCAACGTGAACTATGCAGGCATGAAAGGAGCCAGTTAGGAAACCATGCAGGTGTGGAGGAGTTGCTGGGGGACAGGAACAGGGGGGCAAAGCTATGAGGAGCTCTGTGGTAGAGAGATGAGAGACAACCAGGTGGGGGAGGCTGCAGGGAGAAACAGGGACTGAGAAGCAGATGAGGGTGAGGCCATGGGCAGGAGGTACAGCAGTGGCTCACGGAGCATCCCTTGGCCTCTTCCCTTTCAGTTTTTTTTTTTTTTTTTAAGATTTATTTTATTTATCTGAAAGAGTTACAGATAGAGGTAGAGCCAGAGAGAGAGAGAGAGAGAGAGAGAGAGAGAGAGAGAGGTCTTCCATCTGCTGGTTCACTCCCCAAATGGCCACAATGGCCAGAGCTGAGCTGATCCAAAACCAGGAGCCAGGAGCTTCTCCTGGGTCTCCTACACGGGTGCCCACAAGGAACTGGGCCATCTTTTGCTGCTTTCCCAGGCCACAGCATAGAGTTGGATTGGCAGTGGAGCAGCTGGGACTAGAACCGGCGTCCACATGGGATGCTGGCGCTGCAGGTGGTGACTTTACCTTCTACGCCACAGTGCCGGCTCCTCTTTAGTTTTTAAAATGTTTAATGAAAAATGTCAGACATGCAGGAGTAGCCAGAACAATGTACCGACCCCAACAACCCCCAACATACCTGTCACTCGGCCTCAACAATGACGAGCTTGGGACCAATCCTGTTTTCCCTCGGCCTCCATGCACACAGCTGCTCAATTATCTTCATTTTTTTTTAAGGACTTCGGATGCATTTATAAAACCGTTGGTTGGAAACACAGTTTATCTTAGTCACCTACTTAAGTGGTTTTTGTTTCTTATTTGCCCATTTTTTTCATTTCCTTGCTTTTAAAAATTGTGGTAAAAGTGTAACATAAAATTTACCAATTTGCCCAGTCTGAAGTCTGTGGTTCAGTGGCATTAAGTGCATTCCCGCTGTTGTGCAACCATCACTTAAGAGTTGTATTTTGGGGGGCCAGGGTCAGTGGGTTGGGCCCTTGCTTGGGATGCCTGCATCCCATACCAGAGCACTGGCTCAAGTCCTGGGTGCTCCACTTCTGATCCAGCTTCCTGCTAGTGAATCTCAGGAGGCAGAAGAAGATGGTTCAAGTGCTTGCGCCCCTGGTACCCACGTGAGAGATGCAGACTGACTTCTGGGCTCCTAGCTTTGGCCTGGTTCGGCCCTGGCTGTTGTGGGCATTTGGGGAGTGAACCAGCCAATGGAGGGTACCTCTTGCTGTCTCTGGCACTCTCCCTTTCAAGTAGGTGAAAATAAATAAATGTTTGCAAACATTTTATTTTTATTTATTTGAGAGGCTAGGAGTGGGAGCAGACAGAGAGAGACAGAGCAAGTACGCCCATCTGCCAGTTCATTCCTGAAATACCTGAGCCAGGCCACTAGAGCTAAGCTCCCCTATGGGTGCGTGGCAGGAGCCCAGTGACTTCAGCCATCACTGGGCCTTCCAGGGTGTGCATTAGCAGGAAGCTGGAGTCACAGACCAGAGCTGAGGATGGAACCCAGGTCCTCTGATCCAGGACGTGGACCCCCTCAGCTGCTAGGCCAAATGCCTGCCCCTAAGTACTTGTCTTGAATGGTGAATCTGTGAACTCACTGCTCAACAGGTAGGACCTTGACGGTACCCTACATCGAACCCGATGGCCACCTCTCATCCAAGCCCAGGCCTGCCTCTCCCCCTGACCCTGAGTCCTGGTATCAACCTTCCCTGACTTCCGTTTTATATTTATTTTTAAAAAAGATTTATTTGTATTTATGTGAAAGGCAGAAAGACAGAGAGGGTGAAACACAGAAAGAGAGCGTTCACCTGCTGGTGTACTCCCCACATGGCCACAACAGCCAGGACTGACCCGAGCCTGGAATTTCATCTGGATCTCCCACATGGGTGGCCCGGGTCCGAGCACTGGTGCCATCTTCTGCTGCTTTCCCAGATGCATTGCCAGGAAGCTGGGTTGGAGGTGGAGCAGCTGGAACTGCAACCAGCACTCGGATGTGGGAAGCTGGTGTTGCAGGCGGTGGCAGTGCCACATCGCTGGCCTGTTGCATATAACCTCACTGCAGGTACAGGGGAACTTTCAAAGAGTTTGTGGAACACACGGAAGCACAAGATGTTTATTTTGGTGTGGTCCATTTTGGAATCCACACCTGGTTTCTTTTTCAAACCATGAATTATAAATGAACTTGTTGAAACTGTGGTGGTGTATGAGTTCCTGAAGTTATTTTCCATTTTATTTTTTAACACCACCAACATAGCACTGTGCCGCATGCCACCTTTTCGGAGCTGACGTTTCTCACGCGACACTGTCCAGATTCGTCCACAGTGCAGCAGGTCAGCATGAGACACTCTCCCTGTGTGTGCCACGTTCCCGTCCGAGTCCCCCTAGTTGGGAAATCATCCCATCTTCCTATGTCTCTCTCCTGCTAAATGGCCGTGCTTCGATGTGGCCAGTGCTAAGTCCACACTAATGGTGATGTAAGGCGAGGAGCGAGAGTAATTCTTGCCAGGGTCGAAGACCGGTCACATGCCCGGGAGAAGGCCGTCTGCCCCGAGGAAGGCTCTCTCTCAGCAGTGATGGAGATTAAAGAGGCAGCCCTGGGACCTCTGCCCTGACCCAACGTGGAAATCACAGGGCAGCAAACTGAGGGCAGCGCCGTCATGGGGGTCAGATGAGATAATCGGCTGTGGGAGTGCTCTGCAAACCCTGGGCCGGTTTGGTAAACGTGCAATGGGAGCGTTTTTCTAACTGGCAGCATTTGGGCAGATCCCTTACCTATCCCTTTGCCATCAGCTGCTCTGCAGGAGAGAAGCAGCAAACGGCCACTGACCCAGCGCACACAGTCCGAGGCCCGGGGGCTGTCACGCATGAGTAAACTGAGGCTGGGCAACCTGCCCAGCGTCCCGGAACCAAGAAAGAGGCCGCGTTTGGGTTCAGATCCGGGTCTGTTGGAATCCCAAAGCCTTTTCCTGGTCTGCCACATGGCGTCCTTGGTTCTTCACCCCCTGGCAGGGTGAAGACCCCCTACTTGGCCATCTTGCCCAGGTCTTCTCTTACACCCTGGATGAGCTAAAACATGGCCCGAGCGAACACATGCCCGCCCGGGGAGACCGGGCGCCTTCCCAGCTTCAAGCTGCGTACTCTAGGGTGGGATCCGGAGTGCAGGGCAACCCCTCCACCTGTTTCACGAAACCATTTAACCTCCCTGACCTGAAGGTGCAGCAGGATCAGGGTCCAGGGAGACAGCGCGCCGTGGCTTTTTCTTTTTTTTTATACGACTGAGTGAGGCGGCAGACGGGGAAACAGGCTGAATGCTGCAGCCCCCACCCCCACCCCCACCCCCGGAAGCGGGAACGGTTTTTAGGGTCGCTCCCAACCGAGACAAGCCAGAGCTGCCCGAGGGGAGCCCCGGGAGGGGAAGCAGGGCGGAGCCAGGCCAGCCTCCACCGGTTTCACGAAGTTAGCGGCTGGCCGCGCTAAGCGAATGTTTTCTTAGCTGCGGCGGAACGAAGAAACAACCGGGCTAGGCCCCCGCCCCCAAATCTCCGACAGGGGAAAAAAAAATTAAAGCCAGGCCTTGTCTCCGGGCGGTCACGTGCCCGCGCCCGGGCTGTAAGGAGAACCTGCGCCCATTAGCAGCGCCCCGCCGCCCTCGCCAGCCCCGCGCGGCGTGGATTTTCCGGGACTTCCTCCTCGGGCGAGGGAGGGCAGCGGCGCGGGGGCGCAGCCCAGCGCCCCGGGGAGGCTGAGCGGCTGCGATGGCAGGGAGCCCAGCGGCGTCCCACGGCTCCGACCCGCAGCGGCGCATCTGATCCGCGCGGCGCCCGTGCGCACCTCCGCAGGTGTGTGTGGCCGGCCGGGAGACGCGGGGAGGGCGGCCTTGCGCGGGGGCTCGGACGCCGGTCCCGGGGCCGCGGCGTCCCGAGTGCTGTGTCCACTGGGCTCGAGGGGGACGTGCCCGGCCCGCAGCGGTGGGCAGCTGGGGCTGTGCCTGCACCCCGAAGGTGTGCGCCTCCGCCGGCCTCGGGGGAGTGCGAGGCCGGGTGCGCCCGCGGGGCCACGCGCGCTGTCCGGCGGGCGGCCCTCCGCCTGCACCGCAGGCTCTCGGTGCCCGGTGGGCACGCGGGGCGGGGGCGGGGGAGGACAGCGAGGCCCCGCCCCGCCTCCCCCCGCCCCCGGCCTCACCTGAGTCCGGGCCCCACCTGCTGAGCGGCAGGGGCGTGCCCGGGGGCGTGGCCTGCCGGCCTGGCCCGGCCGGGTGAGGGCGGGCGGCGCCTCATTCCAGGGATTCCTCGCGCTCCCGCGCTCGCGTCCGCCGCGGAGCCGGCCCGGCGCGCGGCCCGCGTCTGCGCGTGCGTGTGTCCTGGGGGCCCCTGCGGTGCGGGAGCGCGCCCCCGAGTGTGCTGCTCGCGCGTCCCCGAGCGTGCCCGGCGGTCCCGGCCCCCGCTGTTCGCCGGGGCCCCGCCGGCCCAGAGGCCGCCCGGCGGTGAGTGCTGGGGAGCCGGGCGCCCGTGGGACCCGGGCGGGCCGCGGCTGGGGTGGCCGGGAGCGGGACTGGAGCGCCCGCTGGAGGGAGGCGGCGGCGGCTGGTGCTCTCGGGACGGGGGGGCGGCCTGCGGGACCCCTGGAGGCGGAGGCCCAGCCGCGGCAGGGGTCCCGCGCTCGCGCGCGCGCGCGCTCCGGGCGGCCTAGGCTGGGAGGCGTGGGTCGGCGGGGCCCTGCGTGCGGCGCGCGCCGGTCGGGGCCGAGGGCCCTTTCCCCGAAACCGTGCTGCCCCCCCTCGGGCCGGTGCGCAGGGTCCCGCCGACGGGCGCCCGGCTCCCCGGTCTCGTGAACGCGCGGGGTCCGCGATCAGAAACTCGCTTTCGCTTTGCCCGCGGCTCTGGACGCTTCCTTCGCCAGGGCCCTGCGCGGGGCCGGGGGTCCGCCGCCTCCCGCTGTGCGGGGCGTCTGGCTCGCTCTCCCTGGCCCCCTTGGCCACCCAGCGGGCCGGCGCGTGGCCTGGCGAGAAGCGGTCAGTGCTGACTGACAGCACACTTCGGCCGCCCGGGGTCCTCGAGCCCACGGACGCGCGGGGTTCGCGGTGTCGCGTGCGGCCCTCGTGGGCGGGCGCGGGCGGCGGCGCGGCGGAACCGGGGGTGGCCCGGGCGGCAGCGTTGGTCCCGGGCTTGGTCCTCGCGAAAACTCGGTGCGGGGAATCCGAGTGATGGGTTTGCGGGGTTACTGCGGCTTCGTCTCCTCGGCGTGGCGTGGCGCCGGCGGCTCCTCGCGACTGTGGGCAGCGTGCCTTTGCCTGGCGCGTGCAAAGGAATGCAAACGAATTCTTAGGTTGACCAAAACACCACGCAATTAGGAAGACAGTCGTGCTATAAATAGGCGCGGACCGCATTCCGGGACTGTGGACTCGCCTCCGGCTCCGGCGCGGGGTCTGTGGAGAGGTGCGGGCCTCCCCCAGGTCTCGGGCGAGCCCCTCTCACCGCCCTCCTCCCTCAGACAGGGCGATGGCCGTTTTCTGGTCCGATTTATGAACAAGAAGATCCGAGATGGGCACTCAGCGCGGTGCCCCCGCTTCCCCCCGCGGAGGTGGACCTGATTTTACCTGAGCTGGGGAGGCGACAATTTCTCTTCCCAACCTGCAGTCACGGGAAAGCCTTCCCGACTCCCGTGGGCTCAGCCTGGCCGCCCTCGTCTCCCGGCAGGAAGACTTGGCTGCCTCTCTTCCTGGTGCTGGCATCCCAAATGGGTGCTGATTCAAGTCCCAGCTGTTCCATTTCTGACCCAGCTGCCTGCTCATGGCCTGCGGAAGCAGCGGAGGGTGGCCCAGGTGCTCGGACCCCTGCACTCAGGTGGGAGACCCAGGAAAAGCGCTTGGCTCCTGGTGTCAGCCTGGTCCAGCCCCGGCCATTGGGGCCATCTGGGCAGATGGAAGATCTCTCTGTCTCTCCATCTCTCCCTGTCTCTGTGTAACTCTGACTTTCAAATAAATAATTCTTTTAAAAAAAAAATGCTGGTTTACTCCCCAAATAGCAACAACACCTAGGACTAGGCCAGGCCAAACTTGGGACAGGAACTCCATCTGGGCCTGCTGCATGGGTGGCAGGGGCCTGAAAATTTGGGCCATCTTCCACTGCTTTCCCAGGTACATTAGCAGGAAGCTGGATTAGAAGTGGAGTAGCTGGGACTTGAACTTGTGCTCCTGTGTGGGATGCCGGTGTGTGCCGCAGCTGCTTAACTTGCTCTGCTATGTCAGTTCCAGCCGTGCAATTTTGAGTTATGAATTAATGAAATAGGAAGTTGAATAATTAAAGTTGTTTTGCAACATTTAATATGACTTGATGATATTCTAGAGATAGTACATGCAGGAGGTAAATTCAAATACATGGGAAAAATCTTAATGTTACTAAAACAATGGCATTGTATGCTGGCCTTAACACATTTTTCAAGCTGTCTTTTGATTGTGTTAGGTGAGATGTTACAGCTGTGAGAACTTGGTGAAAGAGTTTCTTCTTAGATTAAGTTTCGGCAAGCTAGGTTAACTGAAGCACATTTAAGAATTTTTCTTTTTATTTATTTGTTTATTTAAGGGACAGATCTCCCATCCACTGGTTCACTCCCTAAATGCCATATAGCCAGAGCTGGGCCAGGCTGAAGCCATGAACCGGGATCTTAATCTGGTAGGTGGCAGGAGACCAAGGACCTGAGCCACGGCCCACTGCCTCCCAGGGTGCCCATTAGCAAGACGCTGGACTTTGAACCTGGGCACTCTGATATGGGACTGGGCCTTAACTGCTAAGCCAGGTGCTTGTTCCTGCACGTCATTTGTGATTCTTTTTTTTAAAGTTTTATTTATTTGTTTCTCTGTAACTCTTTAAAAATAGAGGGAGAGAGAGAGAGATTGATCGATCATCTGGTGATTCATTCCCCAGATAGTTATGGCACCAGCAGTGATCCAGGCTGAAGCAGCTTCCCCCGCTGCTTTCCCTAGACCATTAGTAGGGGGTCGTATTGGAAGTGCAGCAGCTGGGACTTGAACTGGCACCCACGTGGGATGCCAGCGTCCCACGCTGTGGCTTTCCCTGCCGTGTGGCAACACCAGCTCCTGCATTTGTAATTCTTGCAGGGAGCCTGCCTGAAGTTAATTTGGGAGTTTTAATAGAAGAATAAAGCGAATGCTGCCAAACAGTCTGTAGCCAATTTAGGACCTGTCCACATTAAAACAAAACAAAACACTTAGGAGCAGGGTTGCTAAATCTTAATGGTGCTGACTGCCAAGGTAGGAGGGGAGGGAGAGCAGGATTACTGGAAGCAGAGACGCTTTGTCTGCCTGGGACACGGTGTACTCGCTCTTTGGCAAAGGAGGAAAACCTTGTAGACCGGACTTTCTGCCTCTCGGGCCTCAGGTGTGATGGCCAGGTACCGTGGATCCTTGTTACGTGCGGTTGTGTATTCGTGAATGTGCCCCTCACTGAAGTGCGTTTGTAGCCCCAGACGCCGTGTTTGGCAGTGCTTTGGTGGACGTCTGTGGAACGTCTTTGTGGCAGTGCTTTGGTGGACGTCTGTGGACGCATGCTGCGTGTGGAAGAACTTGACTCTCAGAGCGCATGTTTTCCCAGCTGGGGTCAACCAAGGCAGTACCCAGCCTTCTGCTTTTACATTCTGATTTGTGTATCCGAGAGGCGGAAAGAGAGCCGTCATCCACTGGTGTACTGCAGTGCCCACAATGGCCTGGCCTGGGCTGGGCGGAAGCTTGGAGCTTGAAACTCGGTCTGGGTCTGCTGCCGGGGTAACAGGGACCCAGTTACTTCAGCCATCACCTGCTGCCTCCTGGGTCTGCACAGGTGGGAAGCTGGAGGCAGGAACTGAACTCAGGTGTTCTGATGTGGGATGTGGTCCCCCTATCCGCTGGGCCGAGGGCACGCCCCTGCCCTGCCTCCTGGTTCACTCCTTGTTCTAAACAGGTGTGCTTTTGTTGATTTTACAGCCCCCAGTGTGGTGCTGAGGGGCTAGCCAGTGTTCCAAGGCTGTGTTGCACCTTGGGGAAGAAATGTGTGTGTTAGGTAAGACTGGTTCCGCCATGAGCTGTGGTGCTGTAGACTGTGGGTTCAGGGTTAGTGAGTCAACCGTGGAGTCTAACAAGGTGTCATCAAGTAGGAACATACATAAAATAAGGCTCTGTATTGGTCAGTTGACGAAAAAGTGACCCGCGGCTGGGAGGGCTATAACCCTCTAACTCCCTTAGACAGTGGTTCAGTATCAGTCATTCAGGATTCTCGGAGGTTTGATGGACTAGAACCACCTTGGGTAATGAGAACTGATGATCACATGTCCTGACGGTTCCTGGGCTGTGACCCAGTGTGTCATGCATTAGGGGACTTTAGCATTGAAAAGGCTGAGAGTTGACATTTGGGAACACTGTAGAGTTAGACCCAGGGTGCTCAAATTATGATGCAAGTTCATGTCTGTTAGTGCTGGTAGTAGTGGGTCCCTGAGAGGGTGTGGCACTCAGTCCCTGTGCACAGGACATGACGAGACTCCAGACAGCAGAGTTGGAAAAACAAGCGCGTCCGCGTACACCCGAGATGCTCAAGAGTTCACTTTTCCCACACGCGGTGCCATTGAAGGCTGAGGTCTGAAAAATGAGAGGTTCACAGGAGCATACTTCATTAAACACATGTAATATAATTCATCTGAAAAGTGGGGTGGGCGGAGCTCACACCTGCTGGTTTTCTCCCTAAATGTCTGCAGTCCACAGGGCTGGGGTAGACGGGAGCTGGGAGGCAGGAACTCCGTCCTGCGCTCCTACGTGGATGGCAGGGACCTGCTGCCTCCTGGGGTCTGCATCAGCAGAAAGCTGGGCTTGGAGCAGAGACAGAACTGAAACCCAGGTACTGCAGTATGGCACATGGACGTCCGAGCCATGCCTTCGCTGCCATGCCGAATGCCTGCCCTGTGTGGCCCATTGTGGTTTGTGCCTGCAACAGTGAGGAAAATGGTGGGAAGTGGTGTTCTCTTCAAAAAGTTGAGAATTGACACTCCACCCCCACTCCCCCACCACCTTAGGCTCAGCCGGGCTGTGTAGTCACCATCCAGGGGGCACTTTAGGGAGACAGGTGAACTTGAGCCAGCAGTACAAGTCTCACGCCTGCATCAGGCGGCCTCGCGTGAGGGTCCCGAGACGTGTTGTGACCTATAACCTATGACCTATGTTTGGTTTTGCATATTGAGGCTGACGCAGTGGCCCTCGGCTGCACCTGGGGCACCTTGCCTATGCTACCAGACTCCATTGTCCTACCTGAGGATTGGAGGCAGCGGGTGGTGATACTGCCCACTAGCTCCTGGTGCCAGGGTTGTCATGGTGACCGCGTATCACGTCCTTGGCATCAGGAAACCTCCAGCGTCGGAGGTGAGCATTGTTCAGGCTTCGTGGAGTCCCCCCTGCTGACCCTTGATTCAGCCGGAGCTGGCCGGATTCTCCCTGCGCCGTGAGGCCGTGGCGGTGAGCTCCAAGGTGCCCTGCTTTGGAGGACGGAACATTGACAGGCGCTCGACCTGTGGGCCTGCCGCCTCCTGCAGAGGTTGCAGGGCAGCGGTGCCCAGCGTGCAGAAGGGTCCCCGCCTGTGTCAGCACCCCAGCGTCTCTCGGTGGCTAGGACCGCGGGAGCTCTTGCTCTGTGGTTTGTGCTAGTGCGGCTGTCACCCGGGGGAAGCCAGTGTGTTCAGTAGTTCTCTGGGTATCGACGTGGAACCTGTGCGCATGTTCACGTTGCAGACACGTGTCTTTCCAGTGAGGTTCCAGGAGTCACTGGGTGTGAGCAGAAGCTGGCAAGTCCTTGAGCATTGTCCCAGCTCTGACTGACTCTTGCCTGTGCCAGGGCGGGAGGGCTGGGATGGGGAAGCATCCATCTGCTTATGCCCTTTGTCCGGCAACAGGAGAACGGGGAGAGCGTTTTGAATAGGACTGCTTTTATTTCACAGGGTGAGTGCACCAAAGTGAAAGTTTTCTTTTTAAAGGCATATTTACTCATTTATTTGAAAGAGTCACAGAGAAGGATCTTTGATACAGTGATTCACTCCCCAAAATGGCTGCCACAGCCAGGGCTGGGCCAGGCGGAAGCCAGGAGTGAGGAACTCCACTCTGCTCCCGCATGGGAACGGCAGGGGCCTAGGCTTTTGGGTCATGATCTGCTGCCTTTGCAGGCTCATTAGCAGAGAGCTGGATCAGCAGCAGAGCCACCAGGACTCAGAACCGGTGCTTCCGTATGGGACGTGGGCGCTGCCAGTGGCGGCTTACCCTGCCGTGCCACAGCGCCGCCTGGAGGGGGAGGTTTGGAGACGCTGCTCATTGAGCCCTGACAGTTAGCCACTGGCACTTAATAGCAGGTTTTCTTGAGCATGACTAAGTGGATGTCATCCTTCCTCATCTGACACTCTTCTGGAGCCCGGAGTCCTGAGGGCTTTTCCTGGGGCCCCAGGAATCCGTAGGGCTCTGTCTTTGAGTGCCAGGGTCATTCCCGCCAGCTCAGCCTCTGGGGGGCCCGTGGCGACGGTCCTCTTATCTGCCTTGGCTACTGCACACGGAACTGCACGAGTCCTTGTCTTGCAAGTCCGGGGTGGTGAGCGAGGCCTTGCTTCCCTCTGCCAGTTAGGAACTGTCCTGTGACCGCCCTATAACATGTTTGGGTGTACCGGCGGAAGGAGTGCTGGGCAGAAGTCTTGGGTGTCTGGTTCTTTAGCTTTTTCAGCTAAACAATTGTGCCTGTCTCCCAGAACTCTCTATGGAGATCAGCTTGCGAGTGGTCAGGATGGCTGGGTTTGGGCCAGGAGACTTGGATT